CATTCAGTTATGACCACAGTTAAAGAAGCGCTGCTCTAGATCACTCAGTCTAGCAAAATCACTTAATCCCACAGGGGAGGTTATTTTGAGCAATCCAAGACATACCATATGTTTATGTGGTAACGTTTAGTCATGTCTGGTGACTAAATGACATCACTATGGGTGTCCATTGTACACTTGGGTCTTTGTGTTTGGTCACTTCCTACATGGCCGGTTGCTGGCCAGCATGAACTGTCTTGTCACACTGTTCACTCCCTCTAACCTACTTTTAATTTAGGACTCCTAATGTACTATGAAATTTATCCAAGATTTTATTCCACTTGGATCCACAATTAACGCCCGTGGAAGCAGCAGCCAAGAAATCAAATGACATATTATGCAGGGCAAATCTGCTGAAAAATATCACTTTAAAGTGCTCAAAAATAAAGATGTTCCTCTGAAGACTAAGGTGCACCTCAGGACCTATGGTACTTTCAATCCTATGCAAGGGAAAGCAGGCCACTGAATACGGACGCCTGGGGAAGGGGGGAATCTTTGAATTGTGGTGCTGTAAAGAATGATGAAGGGCATGCGGGAAGGAAAAATAAGCCGATCTCACAAGTAATACAATCAGAACGCTCTTTAGAAATGAGGATGCTAAGACGTTGTCTCATACTTTCTTATCAAAAGGGACAGTCCCTAGGGAGAAGAATATCATGCTTGTTTGTAAAGTGGGAGGTCAGCGAGATGAACTGACACAGGGGCTGCAACAACAGGGTCAAACATAGTAGTAGTGCAGTACCAGGCAGTGTTTCCTTCTGTTATGCACAGGGTCACTATGAAGTGGAACTGACTTGATGGAACCTAGCAACAACAATTTATCATGGCCTAGAAAACCAGGTAATGAAGCTTGCTAAGACAATACCAATAAACAATGCTTCAAGTGTGAACTGAAGGCTCTTAGACAGGAATGTTTTACAACTTTCCTCTAGTTCTTGAATACTTCCTCCCCCCAACTATCATGATCCCAATTCTACCTTACAAATTCGGCTGGATGGAAGGATGTACACTGGTACAGATAGGAACTAGAAACACAGGGAAT